ATGAATTCATTTGGATTCTTTTTGATCTATTGAGAGCTCTTTAAAGATGGCCATCGAATTTTGCATATTAATTAGGAAAATTACCCATYTTAATCGATTTTTCAAACTTTTGCAATTTTCTCAAAAATAATAGCGCGCTGGGACATTTTGATATTATTTCCTAAAACAACTTACCCAAAGGGTTGTTTTGGTACAATAAAAAGAAATTCGATTTTTTGAAACTGATTTAAGATTCTCGACGCTTACAGACATACGCTCTTAATAGGAGGGTCATAAAATTCTTACTTAGTGAAGGGGGAGTGGGTACAAGTATTTTTTAAAAAGTCATAAAGGTTTTTGTAGGTTGGATTCATATTATGAAAATAAAGTTGACTCATCAACCTTCAAATAATTTAATATTTCCCTTAGCTTTCGACCGACACGGTCATCCTCAGAGGAACTACTGAGAAGATCACTAGGATTCTTTCACGCCATAACATCAGATGCTGAATGAGACCAGAAAGAACTCTGCGGAATGTCTTATCTAGACCAAAAGACCAGGTCCCCCAGGAAAAGCAAGTTGGAGTTATTTATTCCATTCCTTGTGGTGAATGCAGCATCAAATACATCGGGGAAATGAGCAGAGCTCTTGGAACTAGGTGCAGTGATGGTGCTAGTGATGGTTTACTCGAAAGATTATACTACTTAAACTACCACTGCAAACTCACTATGGTAACTGTTTATATTTAATATTTATATATATATATATATTATAGAATCTAGAATAACTTGTAAATATAAACAATTATGATTTGTTATATTCATTTCTATTTTAGTGTGTAAATAAATTGAATTGAATTGTAAAGAACATCAGGCGGCAGTACGTTTGAACAAGGCAGAAAGATCAGCCTTAGCCCAGCATGCGGATGAAACGGGGCATTTAATCCAATGGGGTGACATTTCAATCGTGAAAAAGAGTAAAGATGGAACCAAAGAAAGTGGCTGGGAGCATGTGAAATATCAAAGCGCAAGAACATTATTTTTAATAGAGACAACGGCAGAATTCTGCCAGCAAATTACATAAATCTTTTGTAATTTTCAATACTCGTGCTTTCGGGTTTGTGCGCGCAATTCTATTGCTCGCGCACATGTACTAAGTTTGATCGCGTATAGTTTTGTTGATATCATGTACTTATTGACTAGTGAGTTAGGTCGGGCCGTACGGGAAAATATTTGGCTCGAGGTGATGCTGTACGGACCGAATGCAGCGAGCTCCGTACAAATGACCGAGAGCCAAATATTTTCACGTACGGCCCGACCAAACTCAGTCAATAAGCATTTTATCATATGACCCTCACGAAAGAAATAATAAAAAAATGAAAGAAAGAAAGAAATAGTTAAATAAAAGCTAAAAAAGAGAAAGCGCGCGGATTCGAGATCGGTACGGCCTTGCTCGAGCCATTTTCCCGAAGGTTTTTCTAAGAGAGCGCGTCCGGGCAGATACGGGACATATGATAATGTAACGTATTTTAGTTCCTCTGATGATGACCGTGTCGGTCGAAACCTAATTAAGGGAAATTATTTAAAGGTTGATGAATCAACTTTATTTTCATAATATTTTTAAAAAGTTTACTGCGAATCCTCCAACCCTCCAAATCAAAACGTACTTTCCGTCACAATAATTTTACTTCCTGAAATCTAATTCCTTGCCATATTCATTGACAATGTGCTTATCCAAAATATCAAGAACTATTAAAGGTAGGTTAATGGGATGATTTCTAAGAGCTCGAGTAAGGAACTAACTGAATTAAGGAGAACTGACCCCAAAATGAGCTAGAGTCAGCTTTGTTCAACGCTTGTTGCGTACAGTCACACAAACAACTGTAAGGAGAATCTTGGATAAATTTGGATACTGTTTTGGCAACGTCAGCACGAGAAACGGGTTCGATATGAAGACGCAATGAAGGTTTTAATTTGACTTGGCATGCATCATTCAGGATATAGAAAGTCCATATAAATAAACCCACACATCTATGGCTAATTTGCTTACCGGCGTCCACGGCAACTGTAGTAACATAAACATAGTACAAAACAATCAAACACACAAACCAGAGTGTGTTCTTGTTATGTGATGAAACCATCTCAGGCCAGGAGTAGAAGTATAGAAGGGAACTCAGTATCTAGACTGAACTTCACTTTAGATTGACCTTTGAAGTTTGCTGTGCGGAAGTTAGTGTCAGTTATATAAAACGTAAACCTAGCAAGCTAATCCCATGGCTGTGCATGAAAAGATAGTGTTACAAAAATACAGGCATATTTTTTCGTGATATGAAACTTCTTGCTATTTATCATATGACCCGTATCTGCCCGTGCGCGCGCTCTTAAAAAAACCTTCGGGAAAATGACGTGAGCAGGGCCTTACGAATCCGTACGGCCCTGCTCGAAATCTGCGACCGTATTTACATAATTTGCAACTTTTAAAATATCTTTTTTATTTAGGGTCATACGATAAAGTGCTTATTGACTGAGTTAGGTCGGGCCGTACGGGAAAATATTTGGCTCGAGGTGATGCCGTACAGACCGAGCGCAGCGAGGTCCGTACAAATGACCGAGAGCCAAATATTTTCACGAACGGCCGAAACCTAACTCAGTCAATAAGTACATAGTATATTGCTATGCTGAATCAGTTTTTTGGGGGATAGCAATGAATTATTTTGTTCAGTACTTGGAAAAGGACATTGAGCTACGTATATCCCCAGCAAGGAAGTCATTGCAGCAAAGTATGTCTTAGATTTCCAGCCTTGGGTGTTTCGTGCGCTTGTTTTGAAATTCCGATATCGACGGATGGAAATCTTAACCTAAGTATGACATAGTGTCAAATTTTTGTCAAATCTTATAGTTTTTTAAAAGTATGCTTAAAACTTATCTTCTTGAACCAGCGTTTTATGATTAGAACTTAGTATATCTTATAATTTATTAATTTCAGGAAATGGTCATAAAGTATAGGGGGTGGGCAAATCAGAATAGAATCAGTGTTTTTTTTATCTTGGGCCATCATAAAATGATGCTGAAAATGGGAGGACCCAACCAAAGTTTAGAAGCAAAATTACAGATGACCCACCCCTGAAAAAAAAAAAAAAAAGAATTTTCTTGGTTGCACACGTTTACCACTTATTGTAACATTGACTGTTTCGGCTTCTTCTTTCTCTATCATCGTTTTCCTCACTATCAGTAATTCCTATTGCATGAGTAACTATGTCAGTTTCTTCTTCGCTATCCAAATCTTCAGTATCCTCATTAGTGTCCCCATATGAATTATCATCATCTTCAGTGTCCTCGTGTGAAGTACCATCCTTTTCATGCTCTTCCTCTGTTGTACTTGTCGTAGTATTTAAAAGCTGCATAGACAGCCAAGCATTTATTACTTTGACTTTCTCACTTTTGTACACTTTGAGCTTGAGCAAGTTGTGCTTTTTTAAAAAGAGGTCCAAGACTGCAACCCTCTGCTTCGGCATTCCGCTTTCTTGTATGTCTTTCCAGTCATAGTCCTCGTATGCTTTAAGTTTATCTGCATGCATGCTTCCTTATTTTTTTCCTTTTCATTTGCCCTTTTAATTTTTTTTCATTCGAAGGTACTGCAGATGCTCTACATACTTCCTAACCAGATCCTCTGCAACTGCAAATTTCCTTGAGAAATTCTGATGATGACAATTATAATACTACTCTATTTTGTAATGGCCCACCCTTTTTAGCTGTCAAATTTCATCAACGGCCCACCCCTTTGAAGAAGTTCAAAATTCGGTATTTTGTCAGTATCTGCCCGCGCACGCGGTCCGGTATCCTTTGCCGCTAAAGGACAGCACAAAACGATTACAAAAACAAGTAAAAGAAATACGGGGAAAAAATATTATATGTAAGACCTCGGGCACAGTTTTTCCCTATCCGGACCTCCTGGCCCGTAAATAACATATATATATGAAACATTAATATGAAGGACGGGCGAATAATATGTTGAAGATTTGGTACTTTTTCTTTGGTACATTAATAAACAAGAAATACCGAAATTCATGCAAAAAAATTAAAGATTGATGAGTTGACCTAGCACAGTAGACACGAGGGGAAAAGGTCTGCGCATGCTCTGAATCCGTTTGCAAATTATTCAAAACACAAGTAAATTTGACTTTCAAACATGCCTGATAAATTGGACTTCACAAATTGCCACAACTTTGTGTCCATGCTTGAAACTTAAGGCTAATTCTTTCATATTGTGTTTGTTAATACAGTATCTTGGTCTGACAAAAGTATACTCTTGAACTTTTTTGTATACTTGGAGAAAACAAACATTTATTTTCTCACTCAAACTCTTCAAAATTCTTAGAAAACGTGCTGAAGTGCACGCATGCGCAGACGTTTTTCTCTTTTGCGGTCTCAAAATCAAGATTAGTTTATAGTGTTTCAGAAAATTGAAATTATAACTTCATTTGCCCGCGAACGTCCTTTAAGAAACTACAATCCTGTACAAAACTGTTGGGACTCTTCCACCAGTAACAGTTTTTGTGTTGAATCGATACTCCCTATATTTGGGTATTTTGGGTCAAAATATTCCCTCCCCTCATCAGACCGAAGTTATGGCCTAATAGCCGAATCATCATCAAACCTATAAAGGCAATATTTGGATATTGAGAGGTTTTGGGGGCATTTTGCAAAATTGTATATTTGGTTGTACTACAGGAAAAGACCCAATAGACTTTTTTCGAAGGTTGCACTTCCAGATTCCAAGCAGTCTGTGTTTAGTTTAAGAGGTTCACCACCAGTACCTGTCACACTGAAAAACAGTGAATTTAATACTTACCTAGACAGAACATGTCATCCCGTAAGGGAGGGAAGGTGGGAAAAAGCTTAATTAAACTTGCTAAATTCTGTAAAACGCTGCAAGCACGCCCCTGAAAACGGAGGGCCAACCCAAGCATATATTGGGAGTAGTGTCAAGCAGAAGGCACTGACTCGGTTTTAACTTCGCCTAAATTACATTCAGGCACACGACACATTCGCAAGTCTATAAAATGCTGATACCCCCTAGAACCTTCTGAATGAGCCTGGTTTGTATTGCAAATCATTAACTTATTCAACCCTGCGGAGCCCATATCAAGCTTTCTCTCAAATAAAGTTGTCGTTTCCTATATCTATATTTGGTAAGCTCACCTTATTTGGAATTAAGCCCAGATTCCTTTTTGGGGACTTTTCCCTCAATTAAAGCGGCTTTAAAATTACGAAAATTTGAATCAAAACTGCAATGGATATAAGTTTGACATGCGACCAACTTAGGAATCCAGGGCTTGGTGGGTGGGGGAGGGAAGGATACTATCGTAAGGGAAGATGGTTGGAGGTATACAAACATACAGGAAATCGCATACTGGACAGAGTTTAATGCGCCAGAGCACCACATCCTAAAACGTACCCCACAGGGGAGTCGATGGTGACTTGATAACCGTTTGACTCGCACAGCCAAGGTCAGCAAGATAATCAGAAACGTAAAACGTACCGGATTTTTCAATAAATAAATAAATCAAGTTTACTATTTTGCTTGTCTGCACAGAAGATTTTTTGCCCTCGATATTCTGTTGGGTTTCCACGGACGGTGTAAAGGAAAACTACGTCTTTTATTGAAAAAAACAAGAACTCGATCGGAAATACTGCCGCAAATTTTCACGTTCTTTTGCAAACTTTTCTCATCCTTAAGATAATACCTGATAAATGGCAATGATATTTAAAACTATTAAAGGACATCGAATGTTAATGATCTATTGTAATAAGGATTAATGCCTTTGGTGTTATTTTTCGTACATATAAAGTTACATGGCTATGATAATATGGTCATAGATACTGAGATATATAAATATATCATCATGACCATGTAAACGACGTCAACAGTCGTTTACAGAAGAGAAAATATTCGGCAGATTAAAGATGCCCGTTTTTTCTTCCCGCAAACGGCAAACGTGACCACGTTTTCATCGTTTCCCTACAATTCACTTAACCTTCTGCAAACCTTCTCGACAAAGACACACATTCTTATTTTTATCTACTACTTGGAAATCATTGCGATTCCTTTTCACTAATTTTAAAGAGTTTCTTAATGGTCAACTGACGTTTCACGTTTGCTGTAAACGAGAATCTTAACCTCTTAAGGTTACGGCAAACGCGAAATACAGGAAAAAGATGAAAACGTGGCCATGTTTGTTGTTTGCGGGAAGGAAATTTAAAAATCGGGAAACTTAATCTGAAGCAGCCCTGCTAACGTCTGTAATAGCCGGAGGATTAGATAGGGAGTCAACTAACCCACTACTACTACTGCTACTCCCTCCCTCGTCCAGGACATCCTGTCTGATCCTGTATGGAAATGACTATTTATTGTGGCTCCCCACAGAAGCAAGTCTGTTCTACCCACAAGTATAGCACTGGCGAGGTTATCTCTCTCGATCATGCAGCAAGTTCTGCCTCGGGGTCAAGAGATCGTTTGATATATTACTGGGCGTTTTCATCTTGGTCTAGACAAACACACAAGTAATCATGCCAGAGGTGCTCTACAAAATCGGTTCTAAGCAGGGATTATAGCCATACGTGTCAAATTTCAACGGTCGTTTCGAGAGGTTCTGGTGGAAGGATAGCGACAAAGCTGGACAGCGAGTCACACAACAATGTCACAAAACTGATACAAGAATATAAATTTTAAATCTTATTTGCAAATAGATTTTTAAAATCACCGATCCACCTAGATAAAACGGTTAACTCTTAGTCTATAGAAATTGTAATTGAAGATTTTTTATCTCACAGATTCGACATTATATTTATTTATATCTTCCAACAGACTTACAGCGATAAAAGATAAGTCATCTAATTGACTTAACAAGTCTAGCATCTGTCAACTAAGACTAAGCGACCTTGTAATAAATAGCACATAAAAAGAGAGATATAGAGATTGACCGTTAAGATTTAAAATCATTTAAAGCTAAGTTCTACTGAAGTACGAGCGGTAAATTTGAAGAAATAATTTCAAAGCAAGACAACTTAGACAACAGCTTCGAAGCATACTTTCTTACGAGGTAAGTTAATCTTGGTGCTTGAATCACTTTTTCAGTATCGTACAGTTTTTTATTGTATAATGATTCTTAATTGCAAAATCTAACGAAAGAGATAGCTTATAGAAAAAACTGAAAAATCCTCATAAGTCTCTTTAAAACTACAGTATGCCTTCGATGATTAGATTTTTCGAATTTTGTAGCTTATATATCAGTAAATTAAATTTATCGACGAGAGAAACTTCGACAAAATGAATAAATGAACACGTTATTGATAGTCATAATGTCAACATTAACGATAAGAATTTACGACAATAAGTCGATCGCAAACATGATTTTATTTGAATAATCTTATTATTATATAGATATCGATGAAACTTAAATAAAACAAAAGCTCAAAAATTCTTTATTAAAATA